TGAGCGGAAGCAAAGTCAGTTAGAACTCTTGTATCACAGCAGCAATAGTCTATATGTGATTGATTGTAGCTACAGATTAAGTAAAATCATCAGCACCACACCTTCATTTCTCTCTCTACTCTTACCTGTATTTTCTTCTTCTTGCTTTTTTTTTTTTCTCCTCTTCTGAATTCTTGCCCCAATTCTTTCTTCCTATTCTTCTTTACTCCTTTTCTGTTTGATTCATTTCCAGCTCTCAATCATTACACTATCAATTAATACACATGGTCGTTCACTATCTTTTTACTTCGCATGCATGCATTACATTCCAAGAAAGTGTTGGCAATAACTTTTCTGCAAAAACTCTCCAAAAAATACGATTCAATGGGGCTGTTAGTTTTCTGATCAGCATTTGTCAGGAAGAAGAAATAAGTGAAATGTGCTTTAAATGACCGAACAAGTCTTTAAAACTGATAATTGGTTGAATGATCCCTCCTCCAAGACTGAAGTTTTTAACTAAACTGACTAAAACCTGAATCGCATACTACTCATGAAATGACAATCAAAGAAGGAGGGACACTATTCAGTTTGCGCGGAGATTGGTGAATACATGGCACAACCTAGTCAAACCACGCAGTTAATTGGCTATCTTAATTTCTTTGACATTTCTTACTTATGCGCGTCGCTTTTTAATCCACAATGCACAATTTGAAATTAGTAATTCCTAAATGTCACTGTTAAATACTAAAGACAACTCAAAATGATGTCAACATATACAACTACTTTTTTCTTAATTGGACCAAGTTTTGAGCCTTGCAATTTTGACCCGGGTTATAGGTTTCTTTTTCTTGACTTGTTCCTTCTTTTTTCCTTTTCATTGGTTGAATAGTCCATCTGAGTTCAGCTAAAATGTCAAACCTTTGGCGTCTCCTCAATCCTATGACTTTGACAACATAAGACACGTAGTATCTATATAGTAGCCAGTCAAACCACACCACAGTCACAATTGAACCAACTTAAATCGTGGAGTTCCTTGAAATTTCATAAGCGATCCGTGGCCTACTCCAGAATTGGATTGTTACTCCGAGTTGTAGAATGAGTCATCGTTAAAGCTATTACTTGAAAGGTACCTGAGGTAACACAACTGTCCGGAATCAGTTGACCTAGAGGTTACCTGCCAGGAAGTTGGGAGAAGAAACTACTGTTCTGGCAATAATTAGGTACGTAATGGCCAAGAAATCTTGGATAAGTCATTTCTGGCATTCGGGGATGTTTCGTGGCTGCCACATTCACAAAATACATCCAGCTCGGTCTAGAGCTGTGACTATAAATAGAGGAAACAACACGAGAGTAAAGCATCAGCGGAAAGAGCAACAATTTTTTGCAGCAAGCAGTACTAAATTACGACTCAGTTTCTCGTATATTCAACCCATTAGCTAGAGTATACTGCTAGGGATTTCATATATAAAAAGCTTCTTTGATAAACATATATGGCTCTCTTGTCCAGCTTCTTCGCTTGCTTCTCAGATTCCCATAAGGTTGCTTGCCAAGGTGATGATCATATGATAAGCTGCAGGCACCACAAGGCAAGCAAGGAGCTGCAAAAGGGTAGTGATCAAGAAAAATTGAAGAGCAAGTCCAAAGGTGCCCCAATTCCCATGTCATACTTCCCCATCGGGAGTGGATTATCTCGATTATAGATCCGCCTGTTTCAGCCTGATCAGAGCTAGGTCTTGCCAAGTTAGCTAGTTGGATGCATTGATTTGTTATCCAGTATGATTTGTTTAGTGGGATTGATTCACTCATTCGTTTATGTGTCGGAAATGTAGGTTGCCGTAGACTAATTAGCAAAGCCTTTGTTATTCATGTAATGTTTTGACAGGTGAATATGAAGACTGAAATTGTTTGCAGTTAATACACAAGGTTCATTAAGTTTGCGACTTGTTTGTTTTCTTTTTGTCAGGGTTAGTCCCAAGCAAATAAATCAAATAGAGAAATAAGGCAAACGCAAACAAATCAAACAGAGAAACAAGCAAATAAATCAAATAAAGAAATACAAAAAATTTTACGTGGTTCGATCCAATTGACCTACGTTCACTTGTGATACGTGATTCGGTTCAATTAACCTATGTCTACATGCGATACATCCACGTGCGAAGTGTGATTCGGTCCAATTGACTTAACCTACATCCACGTACGTCGTGCGATACGTGGTTCGGTTTCAATCCAATTGACCTACGTCCACATGCGATATATCCACGTGCGAAACATTAGCAAATTCACTATAACAGAAAGAGAGTACGAAAGAGAAAGTACAAAACTTAGAAAATAATTCTAAGATTCAAAAGGCACCTAAAATTGAAAACACAAAAGAATCTAAATAGTATAAATTGCTTAACAGTCCAAATGTTCATAACCTACTCTTTTGATTTGATACCTAACCAAAACTTCTTTTAAACCGAGATTTGATGCCTAACCAGAATTTCTTTTAGACCGGGACATGAGCCCTACCCGCAAAGCTCTCTTCAAATAGTGTCTATGGCCCTTGAACCAGTGCTTTTAGCACGTTTAAACTCACTATATTTATAATCAATAAAAGGAGATACTCTTTATAAAACTTTTGATGCGAAAGACAAACTAAATTTTTTTTTTCCCTAACACATAGTTGAGGGCTTCAGCCAAAGACAATGAACCAAAAAACAGCTTTAAATCAGCACACACGATCAGCCAATGAGGCCTTGATCTTGTGCCCTCAGTATAAGTATAATGCGTGCTCGAATTTGAAAGGATTTTAAATTTTTCATCAAATCTTTCAATTCAATTCAAATGCAGTCCAAACTAATTCCTCTCGTATCAAATGTCATGGGACCAAGTCAACAAGAACAGTGATCTATCCGCCGCTCAATCTTCATTGGAGACGTGTACTATCTTTCTTCCTTGCTTACTTTTGTCGCACTAAAACCCGTCAGCTGACAGCCAGTCTAGTCACAGCCAGAACCATGAACCAAAGAGCAAAGAACAAGTGAATCACGCTTTTTCCTCAGTATCTTTCATGCCTCGCTCCTCGTCATTAATTTATGTACCGTACATCAGGACCACGGCAACCCCCACCCCCCATTTGTTTCAATTGTTTTATTATCTCAGGCTCCCTTTGGATTCAAGAGTTTTTCAAAAATTAATTTTTTAAATATTATTAAAATTTTTAAAAAATACTCTAAAAAGTAGTCTAAATTTTTTAATATTTAAAAAATATTCTAAAATATATTCTAAAAATTCTGCTACAGTAAAATTTTTCAGGTAACAGAGAGAATAGTTTTCTGTAGAAAAAATTTTACGCGTCCGTAAACATATTTTTAATCACTGTTTTGTTTTATATATAATCATTACAATACATTTTTCTATAATAGCGCCGAAAGAACGAACGGGTTTAATTGGCCTTAAACCCGACGACTATTTTTTTTTTTTTTTAACTTTAATTTGCGCAGTGTTGAAATGCAAAAGAAAACACAGATCTTTCTTTTTCTTCCACTTCGAATCTGTCAGCAGCTAAATGTGAATAGTAGTGTAATTTGAACACAACCCAAAAAGTTGCCTTCTCTCCCCGTGAATTCTTTTTGTTTGCCCCATGAATGCTTATGTTGTACGATTCTGCTGCATCAGATTTGGACTCCTGGATGGATGTTGAGGGTAAACCACAGCATAACACAGAGACAAAGCAGAGCCAGACGCCAACCTCTCAATGGCCCCATTCATTTGTTATTGAATGATGATGACTAGCAAAAGGGTGTGAACTAAGCTAATCAAATCCAATGCCCTAGTGTTGGTGTTCAAACTTATTTGATTACGTTAACGAATTTAAAATTTTGTTCAAATGTAACTTATTTATTGGATGAATAAAACTAAAAAATGAGTGAGTTTTTTTTTTTTTATCGAGTGTAAAACACCGTTCAAATTTAGTTTGATTGATCGAGAAATCAAATTTGACTGGGCTTTTATGAAGTTGAACTCGGTTCGAATATCGAGTTTGTTGATTCATCTTTCATCTTACACTCAAAACATATTACGCCTCTGTTCCGGTAAAATTATACTTACCTTTCATTTTGTTACACATATTAGCAAGTTTAATTAATTCAATCATTCTTGTTTAGTATACATCACTCCGCTTATATTAGCCTTAGTGTTATATTTACGTACCTCACTAAGATAATTGATTAACGAAGTAACATATTTATTGATCAAGATGTACGTTAAACGTTAGCATAGTAGTTAAATGGTGTACATTTTGTCCTTGTATTAAAAAAAAAAAAAGAAAGAAATAGATCTATAATTTGAACCCGCAAGAGCAATATAACAATTAAATTTGGATACAAGATCATTACAGAGGTACGAGTATATTTCTTCGCAATTAACAAAGATTATTACATGTCTGTGTGTATACTGAAAGTTTGGATTGTTTATCAAATTAGCAGAGATGTCAGAGAGTATATTATGCAAAGAATGACTTCACTATTGATTTTCAATTTGAGAAAATTAATCTAAAGACTAACGTCGTAGAGTATATATTTATTGATTTGTCTAACGGGTATCAAATATTTGTTTAATTTCCTGCATAATTATTTTTGAAAAAAAAAACAATATGTCATTTTTGAAAGATAGAAAAAGATATATTATTCAAACTTAAAAATTAATAATATCATTTTTAAAAAATAAAAAATTCAAAATGTAAAAAATTTAATGAAAGTTAGTACTTTATTTTTTAAAAATAACAGAATTATTTTTAAAATTTACTTTATTTATTTATGGGATATGAGTTATGCATTATTAAAATAAATATTTGACTTAATTATGGACCCATGCTATTACACCTTATGGAGTATAATCCATTATGAGTGAAAGTGTAATAAAAAAGGAGAAAATGGAATGCTGACGCGGGCCTGTGAATTACATAGCATTGTAGATGCTCTGAGAACCATTACCGACTGCTGCTGCATTTTTTTTTTGTTTTAACTCTTCTTTTCTTCTCAACTCTTTGGAAACGTGTTACCAACAACATTCTGCTCACCCACTCCCTCCCCCTGTTCCTCTCTAATTACTCATAGTCAGCAGTCTCAGGTCTTCTCTACAGCAAATTCTGTGCAACTAAAAGTTTCATCCATATTCGATACGTCTCTTACCCGCATTACCGCTATAACTCGGGCCGCCACTCCTCTGCATTTACTCAACAACCATTTCTCCTAGGTCCTTTCTTCCTCTTCTTATGTTGTCAACAATGTCCTTTTCTCTCCAATGGGTTTTTCTTAGAAACGTGATCACTTTTGATTGAACTCAACCCCACCAGAAAAAGAGAGGGCCTTTTACTGAATAAAACAAATAAAAAGTGTGTCTTTTTGCCTCTCTCATGAATCTCTGCTTTGGGATTGATACTGTAGCTTGTAATACCAGAATAAAGAATTTGAATAGGGATTGGTACAGAAACTAATGATGGCTAGTATAAAGGGTGTACCAATCTGCAAGGCTTGTTGTGCGACCAATAATAATCACCGTCATTGCTACTATTACTCCAAACAAGTTGGTCTTTCAGAATCTGGGTCTAGGAATTTGTTGAATCTGAGAGTGCAGAACAAATGGGAATGTAGATTGGGGGGTGTATTGACAAAGACCCAGACGGCAACTACACCAGTAGAGGAAAATGACAAGCCTTCTGTTGATGGAAATGGAGAGACTCAGATCACAGAGACAAGGAGATTTCACAGAGATTTACAATCTCTCCCAAGTGAGTAACTTGATTAAGAAAATATCAGCCCTTTTATGTTTTGGCATTTAGGTGAAACAATTCTTTAGTTTTCTGGGGGCAATTTTGATTTGTGAGTTTAAAGTGCAGCTGACCGTGTTTAATTCTTAAAAAAGATTGGAACTTTCTGTTGTAGATTGTAGAATAAGCTTGATAGTTGTATTTAAATTAGAATCTGAATGTTTGCCTTAGTGGAAACATGTGTTGATTAGTTTTCTGCATAATTCTGTAAAGCTTATTGGATTCCGGCAGGTCTCTTGGTCATCCAAGTAATTCATGTCATGTCTCATGCCAGGTGAGGATTTTACACTTGTTGTGGTGTTTCCTTTGTGGCCCACCTTCCATTTGGTTGGTACCGTGCTTCTTGCTGCTGAGAAAGAATTGTACTAATATCCTGGAGTCCCCTTTTCTACCAATTTTAAAAATATTAAAGAATTTCATTTTAGCAATGTTAGGTGGAAAAAAAAAGTTGTCTATTTATAATTTTTGGCATGCACATGACAGATAGCATAATGTGTAAGGAGTAAGAATTGATTACTTGCAGCCACGATGAGCTATGAGGAGCAAAATAACTATGTTTGGGGCACCAGTTCCAATGCTCTGGTTCCAATGCTTGATATGGGAACTTAAAATTTCTAAGCAATATTCTATCCACATTTATAACTAGCGATGAGTTCGACATTCTGTTATATCCTACTTGTGAAGTTTTTTTTTTTTTTTTTTGTCAAAATACTTGTGAAGTTTGTTAGATATATGATTGATAGTATAGCTTCAGTAGCAAGAATGCAGGACTATAAAAATCTCATCAGTTAGTGCATCTGATTACTTGCATTTATGGTTCACATTTTCCATTTAAGCTTATGTGCTTTAGTTAAGAAAGCTTCAATTGCAGGACCATTGTCTGCAATTGATCTTTCTTCTTCTCTAAGTGATGGTTCCAAGGTGCGGGTTGCTTATCAGGTAGGCTTGGCACATTTCATCACCTCTTCAGAATGTTATACTTGCATGACTGATCTTTCTTGCCTCGTGTAGGGGCTTCCAGGTGCATATAGTGAGGCTGCTGCACTTAGAGCATACCCCGAATGTGAGACTGTACCATGTGATGAATTTGAGGCTGTCTTCAAGGTTTTGCTGTTTGCAATCTCTGTTTAAATATTGTTTGTCAGTTGATGTTTAAAACGTAATTCTTGTATCAATTTTCCTCTTTCAGGCAGTTGAATTGTGGTTAGTGGACAAAGCTGTACTACCCATCGAAAATTCTGTTGGTGGGAGTATCCACCGTAATTATGACTTACTCCTTTTTCACAGGCTGCACATAGTTGGGGAAGTGCAGGTGGTCGTAAACCACTGCCTCCTTGGATTGCCTGGCGTTAGAAAAGAGGAGCTAAAGCGTGTTTTAAGCCATCCTCAGGTAAGTATTTCATTCTCATGAGCAATATTCTTCCCCCTTCTTCTCCATGCTGGTTGAGAAAAAAGCCAGTGATGCACCATATAGTAAGGTTTAGGCCTCATCAATGTGAATGAAGTTAATTAGTAAATATACCCAAGTTCATATTTCTGAATTATCCATCTAGACGCCAAGGTAGTTGCTTTTAAGATACCAGAAAATCATAGTCTAATTAAGGTCTACCAGTATTGATGACTATTATTGTCTCTCTGAAAGGGATGAATTTCATAGAAAAAGAAAAAGTGTTTGAAAAAATAATGTACAAAATATTTTACTTTATAGCTGCAAATTGGATCTGTTGACAGTTAGTTTCAGCACTTTGACTCGGATACACCACAAAAATGAGAAACAAAAACTATTCATTTTGTTTTCAGGCCCTTGATCAATGCGAGATGACACTAAACAAGTTAGGTGTTACAAAAGTCAGCACCAACGATTCTGCTGGCGCTGCTCAGGTATTCTGTTCAAGGCTTCTTACGTGTTTGAGCTTTTGACAATAAATCAGATTAATGCCTGGGACAGATTACAGCAGCTGAACGTGTGAGGGATACCGGAGCTATTGCAAGTGTGCGAGCTGCAGAAATTTATGGGCTTGATGTTCTAGCTGAAAGAATTCAGGTGACCACAGTATCTGATCTTTGTATCCATTACTTTGCAGTATCCACATTTTATCTTTTTATGCTGCTCATTGCTGGTGAACTATATGATGGCATCATGGCCCTTGCTTTAAAGTTTTCTGCTTCTAAATTTGCCACCATGGTTGCTTGAGATAAAGTGACATGCTTTAGGCTTTGACCAGTTGTTCTATGTACCAAAGTCAATGACCTTGGGCTTTTTTTAGGCAGTGTATAGAGATGTTCTGGTCTTTGAGTTTTAGAAAGATGACAATGCTTCACATATAATTTGAGGATCATTCTGACTGCATAATCATCTGGATTTCATGCATATTAGATTGGACTGATGATCCCATGTAATGCATAACTCGTCCATTAAGTGGATAAGTCATTTTTTTTAAGTTTCGTCATGTATTAAGCTGTACAGAATTTGAAAATTTTGAATATGTATAGGAAGAAGGCAAGTAGAAGGATTTGGTTAGTTGTAGGTTTGCAAAGGAAGAAATAGAGGGTGGGATCAACGCTTTATGTATCTTTATGTTTTACTTTTGCACTTTGAGAGTTTTTTTTTTTTTTTTGGAATTATGGTAGACTATACCACCCCAAAATAATGTAACTCAAATAGAAATGTTTAGTATTTTTTGTTTGGGGGAGGGGGGGGGTGGGTATTCCTCCAAATTGAGATTTGATACTTATCTTTTTAAAGAGTAATTGGTTCTTGACAAAAAGGGGTTTAAACATGTAAAGTGGAATGTGGTCCGTTAATATTGCATAAAATAGGCCAACTGCTCTTGCTTTTGTTCTACTCAAATATCTGTGAGTATGAAAACTCTAATAAGTTAGATAAGTTATTAGTTCCATTTCTTTATTTACTTTTTCAGCCCTCTGAAATTGGGAGTATGGAAAAATGTAGGTTCCAAGGCTCGCATTGTTCTATTTGTGGTTTTTTTTTTTTGGCTTTATTGCCTTTTCCTTTTTATTCGTCTCCTTTTTTTCCACAGTTTACCTTGTTTTTGCACAATAGCTGTTGATGTCACGTGATATTTTGGGTCATGAATTTCACACGTATGTCATCAACATAGTAATCACATTTACAGTCAGAGTTTGTGGTTTAGAACATCCAAATAGACATTAATTCACTTATAGGTGAAACTAACGAGGGCATGTGTATTTCTTCTAGAAGCACCTGATGCATGCGAACTAATCCCATGTTTACAATATCCAGAAATATTTAGATGTCAGGATATTGCAAATTTAACTGGCATTTAATAATTGACAAGAGTAGATATTAGTATATCACTGAACGGAACTTTTTGAGTCTGCCATGCTTGAAATTCCTTTTCGTCAGTCGATTACATTTATTGGTTGATCATTAATATTTGATTGCAATGCACTGACCAGGATGACACTGATAATATTACCCGTTTTCTGATACTTGCGAGAGAACCTATAATCCCAGGCAGTGATAGGCCCCATAAGGTATAATCATACCAATGATGTTAATATATGTTTGTAGTTGCATGGATTGAAGATATTCATTCGTTTTACTTCCAGACTAGCATTGTCTTCAGCCTAGAAGAAGGGCCTGGGGTACTATTTAAAGCATTAGCAGTTTTTGCTTTGAGGAACATTAATTTGTCCAAGGTAACCTTAAAGTCATGGTATATTAAGAGTCATTTTTTTTAATACCAAATTTTTGACATTGATTTCAATGGAAAATGCAAATGCAGATTGAGAGCCGACCACAAAGATATAGGCCGCTAAGGATTGTTGATGACTCTAACAAGGGTAGTGCCAAGTGAGTTTTTCCAACTGAGTTTAGAGACCTCCGTGGAGCTATGTGGCATTTACAGTTCTATGAGTAAATTTGATGCTGTATATATATTGGTGATAGTTTCATGATCTGACTTAGAGAAGTAAGGTGGATGAACAACTTGTAATGGTTAGGGAGGCTAAAATTAAGATTTTTGCATCTTAATGTAACAATCATCTTGACAGTTGACAACAATGTTTTGGTGAAGATGTTTCGTTATGACATATAAAAATTATTCAAAATTATGAAATGTTAATAATTTCTTAAAGTGCAATAGTTTCGTTGAAATTTTTGATAATTTCTCCTCATCATTTTGCCTTGACGCTATCATGAGATGCATTTATTACCATTTTCTTAAAATTTTCCAATATCAGGGTTCACATTGCAGCCTTCATTTTTTTAGGGTTACTCCAGTTTGGAAAGTCTTAATAGCCTCTAAAATTGTGTCTCTGGTCCATGTGACGCATGAATGCATGTCAAGTTTCTTTCCCACAAAGCTTGTTAGCAAAGTGATGTATTCCTGACAAATACTTTTCTGCTTACACTCAAAATTTGAGTTGCTTCTTCTATTTGCCTTAAATCCTGTATTTATCAACATAAAAAATGAGAGAGAGAGAGAGAGAGAGAGAGAGAGAGAGAGATTAGCTGCAAACTCGGAGTGACTCGTAACTTCAAACAGCCTTTTCTTGCAATGGCCGGCATAAATGGACGATATGATGCAGTGAAGCAAATTCCAAAAAATGGCCTGTTTTGCTTCGCTTTGTATACCCAAAAGATTCATCCATTCTTATGTGGTTCGATTGTCCAATCTGATGGCAGGTATTTTGATTACCTCTTTTATGTCGACTTTGAAGCATCTATGGCAGAGCCTCGAGCCCAGTATGCTCTGGCACATCTCCAGGTTGGTATTATGCCTACTTGTTGCTTTCTCTGTCCATCATATTCATATTCCTTAAGTGGATGGGCAAATACCATGAGATAGTCATCTGTGTTCCAAGATCTGATGTATGTGTGTTTTGCTGCTTGAAGAGCAGTCAGAAGATTGTTTTCTCTTTTGATTTCTGAAAATGAATGTTATAATTATGAAGGCTTGTGGACTGTTTTCCATTTGTTCCCTTCTGACTCTGAAAGGCCGAGCTGCCGCCGATAACTGCTGAAAGGCTTGGGGGTGGGTGATGAAAATAAAGATCATTTATACTGCCATTTGTTTAAATGTTTGCTTTAGCCAAATACCTGGAAATTTCCTTCTACACCATCTCTCGTGTTTTTTTTTTCATATGTTTTTTGAGGCCTCATGTAAGCATGGTTCTAAGTGCTTTCTTTCACTTCTTCCTGCAGGAAATTGCAAAATTCCTTCGTGTCCTTGGTTGCTATCCAATTGACACAACTCTATAAATGAATGCCCCTACAAAATTTGATCAGACTATTACTTTGATTTCCATGGTACAAAGGAAGGTTTCAGCTTCATATCTGTGCGTATACAGTCTTTCAAGTATTCTGGGAAGACTTTTCCCTACATATGATAAGAGCAAACAAGATTGGATGCCAAGCTTACCCTGACAATATATCTATCGTATTTAATTCTTTTCATCTTCCTAGGAAAGTTTCAGACTCAATGTTTAAGCAACAGAATGCTCATACTCTGCAGAACAGGATTTGCTTATGTTGTAACTCAGAGGCAATTCATTGAACTTTGTGCTCCTAAAGAAGCCCCAAAATTGAGGAAATTTGGCCCTTCTTCTTTGAAGCAGCTGGACTCTGATGTCTTTCCGGTTCTAGTGCCAGATAACTCATGTTGTCTTGACCAATTGCATCTTCCAATGTTAGGGGCTGGGGGATTCCTTGACACATGCAAGTATCCAAGGAATGAAAGTAGACAACTGGTTGATAATTAAACGTGTAATTTTTGGTGCTGACGAGCCATCGCATGTCCATATTCTAAGTTCGTCTGTTAAACGGTGGCAACAATACAACTATTTCCTCCACTGCTTGCAGACTAAATCAACTAAATCAGTCATAAGAATCAAGAAAGATGGTCACGGGCATGCACCAGTTTTCAGTTGTAGAGATGGTGATAGAACATTCACTTAAATTTTAAATGAAGTTACTGCAAATCATCGGCACTATTTTACCATCACAAGAACAGCAAACTAATATCAATATCAACAGAGACTGAAGTAACTGTTCCAAAATCATATCTTTTAAATACAGGGCCAGTTGACATAGCATCAAAACACAAGCATTGCACTGCAGTTACACGATAGCTAAAGTTGCAGGCATTATTTATCTCCTAGTTCAAAGCAAGTCTATCTGATCCATCCAGAAACATTTTCATAACACAGTCAGTCTTTCTTTTCAAGCTCCTTCAGAAAATCTTGATTGTCAACCAGAACCTGTTAAAAGAAAACAACGAATTTGATGAGCTTTCAATATGATGATGGTAGCGCATTTTAAAGCAAAACTAGACAAAGAACATAGACCATATAAAGATTATTTATACAGGATCTTCAGTCATTAAACTATAAAACACATTTGACAAAGAACGTGTGCACTGTGCATCCTGTGTGTTTCATACAATAAACCTTCAAAATTTAGCCATCTCAATTGTTTTCGCTTGTTTTCTTTTTATGCTTTCAGAATCAAAAAGATGTATTAGCTCCAAAGAACCACTTATTTTCGCCAATTTAGGAGGAAACTCAAACAAAAGATGATACATTATAATCTGATAAGGTAAGACCTGTAACTCAAATGTGCATGGCAACATTCAAACCGTTCAACCTCCAAATTTTGGTTGCAACTTGGTTCATTTAATGTCTAAATCACTTACTGTTTTCCAACCATCTGGGTCAACAAAAGACACAATCTTGGTATTGATTCCAGGAATTGGTCCCGGTTGCCTGGTAATCTTCCCTCCAAGCTCTTGAGTTACAACATTTACGACCTCACCACTTTTATAAACATCATCAGTGCTTATTGCAAGCTGGTGCAAACATAACAGCTGTCAATAAGGTAGAAAACAATATGCATCCCGACAAAGAATTACTCGACTTTCAGAAGGCAAATAAAAACCTGTGCGTATGCATTGCCTTTTGTGTATTCTGTCACACCATAATTATATGTCAATTCCAGCACAGTTGTCTCTTGCTCTTCAGCATATCCCAGCATTGCTATGGTGTACTGCATGGAGGTTTAGTTTGGTAGGTAAGATCCATATCCTAGGTGAAAAAATAAATAAATAAAAAATAAAAATCCACATTTAAACAAATACAACCTTCTGTTCCGGTCTATCAGTCTTCTTCACCACCTTCATCCCCAATGCCTATGCAAAACCATACACGTCATTACATTGGACAGTGTAATATTGAAGAACCATTGAACATGGAAGATGCAATCCAAGTGAAACAGTAAATTGAGAAGCAGCTTCAATAAGGAGTTGTAATAGGCACTTTAACTTCAAGATACCTTTTCATAGAACTTGATAGAGCGTTCAAGATCACCCACTCGAAGCATTACTTGACAGAGTGGTTCAGGAGTAGGCCCTCTTTCAATGAGCTCAAAGAGGTAACCGTCTGGATCTTTGGCAAACGCAATGACACTTTTACCACCTTTCACAGGTCCAGGCTCCCTTGTGATGGTTCCGCCCTTAGACTTTATATCTTCAGCAAGTTTGTATACCTTCAAACAAATGCATCAAAAGAAGTCAAGCTAACAAAAAACTAGAATGCAGAAAGTAAATCAACCAATAGAGAGGCACTTACATCTGGGGTTGCAATGGCAAAGTGGCCAAAGCCACTACCAATATCATACTTGTCGACCCCATAATCTGCAGGTAAGCACCAGAAAGAATAACCCAGAGATGACATCAGATCCTTTACTTCCCAATGTGCAATGACGACACACTTCTAATTGACGCTTGATCTCATAACCCTTTTCTCTTATATTAAAAGCACCATCTGCAATTATTCACTCACCATAGGCTGAAGAAATGCATAAAGAAACCAATTCCCCTCACATACAGAAGACATGCAAGTAAATACCAAAGCTACTTTCCCCTAAAAGTTCAATTTTTGCATACCACTTGTTGTATTGATCAATAAGATTCAGCATACCCCGCTACAAAAAGTAGGAGCAACAATAAGCACAATATACCGCAATCAAGTGCATAATGTATACTATACCCATCCTCATGGCAGTAAGCACCAAATTACCAAAAACATTAGGATCCTAAACTTACTGTATGTCAACTCAACCACAAAGTGAGAGTCTTCAGGGCCAAAACCAAGGAAAGCATTGGCATACTTCTCCTCAGGAACATCTCTCTTCCTCAGCAGCTTCATCCCAAAGCATTCCGTATAAAACCTACGACGCCAGAGTCACCATTCAACACATTAAGAACAGAATAAAACTACAAAATCCCATATTCAACAATGGTCAGCTACTTTTCTTTTCCCATAAGCAGTAAAACTTTATACTTGATTGTCCTATCAAGATCACCAACGCGGTACACAGCATGTAAAAATCGACGCTTATCCTTCTTTGGCCATTCCAACAACTCGTCACTTGGAACTGCTGGTGCTGCAGACTCGGCCATATCCACCTATACTTCTCAGCAGCAGATTAGTACCGATTAACGAAGTATTCACAGCAAATAGGACAAAGAGAAAACTTAAGTTTAATTTCATCAGTTTATGCTTTACATTGACCTTTATTTATATTCTATTTTTATTCACCAGGAGATTCAGGCTTATATGTTGAAAGAAAAAGTAAATGCAACCCACTTTTCATAATCAATATAAGAAAAAGAAATTCCTCATCATATTTTCCCTTGATTATCCGTCTTTTTTCATCATGACAATTATAACGTACAAGTTATTTCCTTTTCTTCATCATGACCATTTTATCACCTAAAATCCAAACAAAGGGTTTTGAGAAAAACAAAAAAAAAAATGTAAAAGCAGTAAGCCAACTCCACAGAAAACTCTAGCAAGATCACAACTTTGTATCACCAGTTAAAAAAAAAAAAAAAAAAAAAAAAAAAAAAAAAAAAAAAAATAAAAAAAAAAAAAAACTGCACAAAAAATATAAAAAAAAAAAAAAAAAGAAAAAAAAAAAAGAGAAAGTTAATATTTATCAAATTAAACAAAAACTTGAAGAAAACAAAAATAATAAAGAAAAAAAAAAAAAAAGAAACATATATGTAGAAGAAGATTGGATTATAATTGGAGTGAGAGAGCTTACCAGAGAAAGCGTGAAATAATAAATCCGAGAAATGGAAAATCTATGGATGACCTTCAACAGAGTAACCGGCTGAACTACAGTCTTCCTTTTATTTGCTGTGAAGCGTGAACCTCCTCCTCGTACATATCCTAGAATGTACTACAGATGCGATAAAGTTACGGGGCTGGCCATGACGGCCCGTTTATACTGGACCGCGGTTATGGGATGTACTCCTTTTATGAGATAGCCGCTAAAATGTCAAATAAACACCGAAACATCAACCCAAAAATTTATAAAAAAAAAAAAGAGCCAGAATTGCATTCTTATCCAGGCTCCGTCCCGTAACATTTTGTGAATTATAGTAACATTTTAGTCAAGGAGCAAAGTAGAAAACAATAATTAAGATAGGAGCAAAGTAAATTATGAATTATAGTGTCGGATGAAATAAGAGCACCAAAACATTAAGATAGGGCATGGGATTAAAACAAATCAGGTTCACACTTAAGAAAGTATCAATTATTAGACCATCTAGAAGAAGTATGAGTAAAATATGAACTATTGTATCGATTAAAAAGACAAAAAAAAAAACACGAAACATCAAGTTGGGCACGGGGTTAAAACAAATCAAATTCATAGTTAAAAAAGTATCAACTATTAGATCATTTAGGAGTCAGAGTAAAATATGAATTATCGTGTCAATAAAAAAAAAAAACACCAAAACATCGTGACGAAATTCATACATTAAGAAAGTATGAACTATTAGCCCATCTGTGGTCTCTCCTTGATGAATGTTTGTGTTACGTTAGTTTCATATTTGAATTTTACTAAAACGGAGTTCTTTTACGGGATTTTGGAATTTATTTAAAGGCAAAGTTCCAATCTTTCAACTTGATCTTGATGGACCGAGCAAAGAGAAAAAGCCAAAAAAACAAAAACAAAATTGTGGTTGATATGATAGACACACTTTCATCAATGATTGTTGTTTTGTGCATTTGGGCACACACATGGATACCTTTGATTCCTTTAGATTGTGATGCTATTGCTATGAAGTTGTCACTTATCGTTGAAAAGGCCATCAATCGCTAATGAACAAGGACTAGGTTTGTTTGGATATCACGTTATTTATAAAGAGGAAAATTATTTGTTTGCATCACAAACATATTTTTCAATCAATTTTTTTTTAAATCTTTTTGATCATCTCTAAATCTCACTATATTATATCATAAAAAAATACTGCAGTAAATATTTCAAATAATCTCCTGTCCAAATCCACTTTATTAGTTTGAAGAACTTCCTTTTAATCACTTGTACACACACACAAAAAAAAAATGTCCTACCTAACATTTAGGACAAGGAATAGAATGCACAAAATTGATATGTATTTTCCCCTTAGAATCAGTGGATTACAACTTTAGATTTGTTCTAATTTCAATTACAAGCTTAAGGATCCCTCGTTCGATCGTTAACGATTAAACAAAAGATTGATTTGGGCCTGGAGTTGAAACTTGGTGTCAGACAAAGAATAGTTTTAGAATCAGAACCTTTTGTTATTGTTTTTGACGAAACCCAGAGTAGTAGACATCTAGCTCCCTAAATTGATTTGAGAAAATAATGGGCCGATTCTGTAGGCCCTAGTTTAAGGGACTGACCCAATTTATAGCACGTTGGGGCATTTGGTTCACTCAACGAAACTGGGGCCCGAAATTTAACTAATCAAGATTACCATTCGCATAATCAGAATTAATTGTGCAGCGAATTGTTTTATGACTGTGTTGGAACTGAAAGATGAACTAAACTATTCGATACTAGAATCAAATCCAGTTTTGTAAGAGTTCGTCGAGTTTGGTTTGCTAACTCGTCGAGTCAAGTTTGAACGACTTTTTGTGTTCAATAACTTTCAAAACAAGTCAAATTTAAATAAAATTTCAAATTCGTTAAAATAATCAAACAATTCTGAACACTAAATCATTTACATCCCTAATGCCTGCAATACTAGTTAAAAAATTAGGTGATCAATTTCAAACATTGAAAACATTAATTTTAAAGGGGAAATGCAATAAGTAAGACTACACACACATATATGTATGTATGTTAGGCTATCTCATTGAAAAATGGTTCGTAGCTTGAAGGCTTATTTCATTGTTATTTTTGGCACAGCCGTGAACATGAAGAGCAACATTTGAAAATCATTGATCCTTCAACCCTTTTGCTTGAGAAAAGTTACATGGGGTTTTGTTTATGCATACACCTTCAAGAACAAACAAATTCTGGTAAATCAATGCCACGGTCCACATTTGCACCTTCCAGGATGATCACGCATCGGAGGCATTTCGCAGTGTGGAGCTTTCAGAAACGGACACCACAATACATCGCACTCCGCCTGCACTACGCAGGGCCTGTCAATCCCCAAAACCCAGTCCTTAAATGCAGGCCAAAGCACTGCTTCAGTTCCTGGTGATAGACCTGCCATAATTTCTTTTTATTTAGTTTTTTGCAAGCCAAAAAAAAAAAAAAAAAAAAAAAAGAGAGTAAAGAGAATTGCTGATATACGTGAGAACTAATCATGGTACTATTATACATTTGGTCTGTAGTTTGTCTGTATCATACGGTATCTTATACAAACAAACACTAATTTAGTCTGAAAAGAAAAGAAAAAAAAATAAACACAAGATGAGTGGTGTGGTTTTGGCAAACTACTATATATAGCATTTTCCTGGAAAGAAAGAGATACTTACAAGACGCCATAATGCAAAGCACCGAAAGAAAAGAAACCATAGATTTTGAAGCCATTTTTATCCTCTTTTTTACTTCTTTAGGCAACAAGACAAGATGCAAACACGAATAAAGGCCATGCTTAGGTCACCCTTGCTATTTATATCTAAAAGCAGAAGTAGAATCAGGGACTAAAAGTCTGAAACTTGGGTTTTTGTTTTTGTTTTTGTGTTAGTAGTAGACTAGGTTAAATGGTGTGCGGATTTAGCCTCATAACTACAAAGTAAGATAACTAGATAAGACATAACACCCGTTAAAACTAGTTAAAGCTTCTACATTAATTTACTTCCATGACTTTAAGCAGTTAGATATTTCTATTTAAGAGTCTATATCTACGTTACTTTGTCTTGAAAAAATGTTATCTACTATTGTAAAATCGGCTCGAATTTGACCTTGTTTGGAAAGTCATTTTTTTTTAAAAAAAAATTTACCTTTTTTGTGAACACATTTTTTAATTATCTTTTTATCTCACATATCAAATCCCTACAATGCATTTTCTACAAAAAAAAAAAACTCTAAAAAATTAAAATCCAAACAGGTCACGCAACTAGATTGCAGCCAGGGGGAAGGGAAGGAGAAGGGAGGAAAGAGGGAAAGGGAGGGAGAGGTGGCGGGGGAGGGAGAAGGGAAGGAGAAGCGAGGAAAGGGGGAGAGGGAGAGGGAGAGAGAAAAGTCAAAAGAAATTTTTTTTTCTTTTTTTTTTTTTTGCATCTGCTCTTCGTGCTGGGGGGTGGTGGGGGAGGGAGGGAGGTGGGGAGAGGGAATGTAGAAGAAGAAAAGAGAAAATAAAAGAAAAAGAAAGAGAAAAAGAAAAAGAAAAAAAAGTTTTTTATATTAAAAATATTTTCTACAACTTTTATAGTAAATTATAATAAAATTTTAAATAAATACTCAAAAAACTCATTTGACAAATGGAGCCTGAAAATCTTTAAATTTTTTGGTAATTTAGAATTTTTAAATGGTTGTTTTTTAATCCTTCCACCTCTCTCTATACCCTTTCTCCTTTCAATTGCTACTTTTAGAACTTAAACCTCGAACCTAACAATAATGAATGGAAACAACTCTAAAAAGTTTTCTCTTGACCAACGGACGGACCATTCTTGGTAGCTTTAAAATCTTTGAACTAAATTCTCATATCAAGAAGTTGTCTCTTTTGGGGTCGTAAAAGGTCCTAAGGCTTTTTTTTTTTTTTTTTTTTTTTGGCTAACGGAGTGGATGTTCGTATCAATCCTTACGGAACTCGATTAATCTCACTCCGGCCTAGGAAGAAAGGTCTCATTCCCCCGAACACGATAATCACAGGATTCGAATTCTTGCGGGTATTGGATACCAGCTCTTAAGGAAGCTTGTTGAGACCAACCGAGTTATCCATGAGGGACAGACAATTTGGTGGGAGACAAGGGTTGAATCTCCTGACCTCCCACACCACTAGACCCTTGACCTCCCACCCCATCATCAGGGAGAGGTGGTTCCTAAGACTGTTTAACTTACGAAATGATACTGCACCAGTGCCCTCCCATGCATGCTGAAGTTCAATGGATGTATGATCATTGGATGATAGAACACTCATTGTACGGATTTTCACTGTAAAAATCCACCCTCTCCGGCCATTATAAATATACACATTTTATACATTAAATTTGTACTAAAAGTTTTGATAGTTGTTCATCATTTGAATCTTATGATTGAGGGTTGTCCCTTCGTCAAATTCAAAGGACCATTCCTCCATGTGTGATGATGCAAGGAAACACGAGGCAACTTGGGCTGAAACCGAGAGAGAAGGACTTGCTGTTTTGAATATGGAAGAAAAGACCGATCCAAAAACAACAGACAAAAATTAAACAATAGTTAAAAAAAAAAGCATAATTAGAGTATTTTCCAAAAGATTACTTAAAGTGTTTTGGGACATTTATCTTAAAGACTGATAACTCAAAGAGAATATATTCATATTATCTTCGAGAAGAATTTTATCGTGCAAAGGCAAGTGGACTGCAATTTATTAATTCTTTTCATAAAAACTTTGAGAAGAATTTTATCATGGCAAGGAGAGTAGACTGAAATTTAAGGAAAAAAAATTCACATCAAGACAAAAGAATTAAATAGTTTCTTTTAAATAAGAGGTCTTGAATTCAGAACTATCGTGCCATTTAATCTAATCTAATCCAACCCTACCTCGAATTAAATAGACTCCACCGTGTCGTTTCTTTTTTCCACAATTACTACGGATCTATCTTCTACTTAATAAGATTTTTGAATATTTCTGTATATAAAAAGAAAAAAAAAAGACTCTATTCAACACGACGTGAAAATCCAAATCGCCGCTCCTCCGTGTTGCAACAACTCTAAATTGAATAGAAAATCAAAACAGACAACAAAATTACCTCTTAATCTATTATTTTACTAATTCTTTTACCAAATTAGGGGAATA